CTCCCGCTCCCCCGCGGCTCCTGCCCCACGCTCGCCACCGGGCTCCGCCGGGCGCCCCCGGGACGGCGCAGGCTCCGGGGGCAAGGGGCCCTCCCGGCCGGCCTATGTGGGCCGGGGGCCGGGGTGGAGCCCGGCCCGGCTCCGCCTCCACCTCCCACCGCCACCGGAGCCCGTCCCGCAGCCCCGACGGCTACCCCGGCGCGGGGTACCCCTCCCGGGAGCTTTGGGCGTGAGGTGCCCCAGGGTGCGGGGCAGGAGCCCGGGGCAGGATGAGGGTGCTGGGGGGAGCAGGGTGGCGTTCGGGTGTTGGGGTGCCCAGGCACCGGGGGTACGAGATGGGAGCCCTTGAGGGGTGCAGGGCGGTGGATGCGGGGAGCTCTGGGGATGCAGGGGCGTGGGGCGGGAGAGCCCCAGGCGCTGGGGGGTTCAGGGGTGTGGGAGGGGGCTGGCTGCTGGCACCGCTGGCTCCCCAGCCCTGTTCCCCGGGAGCCGGAGGAGCTGGAGGAGCCGGTGTCCTTGTCCGCTGTCCCCACCGCTGTGCCCCGCATGCTAAGCGGCTGGCGGCGGGTGGGGGCGGCGGGGAGCCAGCTGCCGGCTGCCTGGGCCGCTGTGGGGACCCCCCGGGCACCGGGGCTCCCGGCCGGGGCCGTGTCCTGCAGATGGAGCCACCTCCCCGCCTTAAAGCCCAGCCGCTGCCCGGTGCTGCGGGGGGCGGGGGGGGCTGTGCCCCCCGGGGTCCCCTGCCCAGGGGCTTCCCGCCGCAGCCCCCGGGATGCCCTCCCTGCCGCAGCCCCCGGGTCCTGGTGACCCTGCGTTCCCGCGGGGGCTGCGGGCGGGTTTGCGGGGGGCCCCGACGAACGGCAGCTCCCCCTTCTCGGTGCCTGTCCCGACCTGCTGTGAATACCGGGAATAGCAGCGGCGCTGGCGGCAGGGCTGGGCGTGCGAGCCCCTGCACACACACACACACACACGCACACACCTACACCCTCGCAGGCCCCTCGCCTGCCTTCACACCCCCTTGCCTGCCTCTGACCTAAAGAAGGGGTTTTTGCACCCCACAGGCACATGGCAGTGGGTCCCCCCAGCACACTGGTGCTTCTCAGACGTGGCTGTGGGTTCAGCTGCACCGGTATGGTACAGGGACAAAGGAGGGGCATGGGGGGAGCACCCCTACATCCCAGGGATTTGTCTGAGGTGCTTGGTGAGAAGATAGCCCGGGTTTCTCCTGAGCTGTAGGGTCTGGGTGGCACGGATCCCACCCCAAGGGCTGAACCCCATCCGGGTCACTGCAGAGCTGTGCGACACAGGGGACATCAGCTGGGACGCTGCCTGACGGGGTGCTGCCACCCTGGGCCCCAGGCAGCCCTGGCGTAGAGTCCCCTCTGGGGACCCGGGCCGGGCTGGCAGCACCCTGGCAGGGCTCAGCTCCACGTTGTGTCGGAGCAGAGGGTGTTTGTCAGAGAAGCTCCTGGCTCCCAAGGTTGAATATGAGTCAGGTTTTGGAGCGACTTTAATTACTGCTGGATCGATAGGCTTGGCACGGCCAAGCAAAATCCATTCGCAGCCCCGGGGGCCTGCTTCCTCAGCCCTCCCTGCTTCCTCAGCCCTCCCTGCCTGCTCAGCCCTCTGCTGCCTGCTCAGCCCTCCCTGCCTGCACAGCCCTCCCTGCCTGCTCAGCCCTCTGATGAGGCACACACTCCCCAGCTGCAGGTGGTCCCTGGCACATGCTGGCCCAACACCCAGTCCTGGGAAGTGGGATCCAATCCTGGGCATGGGGCCAGCGCCCTGGTCGCTCAGCCCTGGCAGGGGACATGCTGCAGGGTGGCAGATGGAGATGCCTCCAGCCATGCAGGACAGGGCCAGCACCACCCAGGGGACTCCACGCACCCCTGAGCCCCTTCCCTCACCCGCTGCATGGAGCAGGTTTGTGGCTCCTGAACCCACCTTGCACCCTGGGCACAAGTCTGGGAGCACCAAGGAGGGCAGAGCCACCCTGGCATCCGGCAGGCAGCCCCTCTTATGCCCTTGGATGGGTAGGGGGCACTCGCCACCCACCCTGTGTCCTGTCCCCCTGCCTGTTCCCCCCTCCCAAGCCACCCCAGCTCGGCCAGGCACCGCATAAATAGCTGTTTGTGTCTCCGCTCGGCCCCTGCGTGGGAAATAATATCGGCTGATGGAACATAATGCCCTGCTTCACATGTTCAATTTTATCATTTTCCGAGGCAGGCAATCTTCGTTTAAAGCTGAATGGGCTGGAGAATGTTAATGAAGCGCCGGCGCTGCTCTGCACCGCGCTTTATCTCTTCGAGAATAATTTGGGTGAGCTCGGAAATAGAGTTCCCAGTCCCAATTCAAGCGGCGGCAGCACCGCGTGCCGATAAAAGTGTAATTCCTGGCCAGCGCGTGGCCCTGAATACATGACAAATTAACCCTTGGGGCCCCACTGGGATGGTGCTGCCCACTGCTGCCTGCTTATCTGCATGGGACCCGGCTACCCTGTGTGCCCAGCACCAGACTGGGTGCTCAGCCCGGGAAGGATGGGATCTATCGCTCCTGCTTGCCTGGGCCATGGAGTGAGGCATGAAGCCCAGGGAGGAGAGATAAGAGGGCAGGAGCAGAGCTGGAGGAAATCAGTCTCCCTGGACAGACAGGACCCCACAAGCAGATCTGTGGTAGTGCCAGCCTGCAGGGTGCCCAGGGATGGGGGCTCTGCTGGGACAGGCATGCCCCAGATCCAGTGGTGCCCAGGTCCTAGGGTCAGGGGAGGGATAGGGAGAGGGAAGGGGGTAGGGACTGGGCTGGGGGACCAGGCTGGAGGGAGAGGGCAGGGGGGATGGGCCCAAGGGAGCATCCCACCCTGGAGAGACTGATAGAGCAGGGTGGGCACTCCCAACCCGAAGGCAGATGCCTGGCCCGATGGTGGAGTGAGGGGCTCCCCCAGGAAGGGCCTTGGGCCCCGATGCTGAGGGGAGCAAGGTGATTTTTCAGGAGGTTTTTGCTGGCCCACAGAAGGAGAAATGCAGGTTAGCGGGAGCAGGTGGCTTGGGCGCCAAGGAGAAAGCCTTTGGTGGTCTGCATGGTCCTGCTCTGAGCCTGGCCATGGGGCTGTGTCCAGCTACCACCAGCTGTGATCTGGCAGTTGGTCCCTGCATGGAGTGACCCTCAGGCTCTGCCACCCCACCCTGTGCACAGCTCCCTTGGGCTCCAGATGCAGTGGATGGGTGTTCCCAGGGCAGCACAGCACCCTCCAAGTGATGGTCCCCACATCCCAGACCACCCATCCCAAGATGTTGGGAAGGGGGTGCCTTGGCCCAGTGAGGGGTCAGCAGAGCCCTTCGGGCACCAGCCTGAGCCCTCTCTGGTGGGACAGGGAGTGGGTGCTGGGACAGACCCTTCCCCTGGGAATGAACAAGGTGGGCAGGTTTCCAGCACCGTTAATCAGGGCTGCGAGAGCCGGGATTAATGTGCACTCCAAGGCTCTCCAGTCCCAGCTGTGATCCAGCCCTCTGCTCTCAGCCGGAGCCGCCTCCACGCGCTGAATTATCAGCCTGAGTAATTAAGTGGAGAGCTTTGTTTTAATGCAGACATCTGATGCCTTCGCACCGAGGAGCACAACAACTGTCGCGAGTGTTTATGCTCCGTGCAACACATCTGGCTCACAGGGAGAAAATCCATCTCCACCGCTGCGCGAGATTAAGGGGAATGGTGGCCCGGGTGTGGAGAGAGGAGGGAAGGATCATGGTGGGCAAGGATTCGTCCCTGAGCATCACCCTGCCGGCTCCTTGAACCCCACCAGCAGGAAGCCGTGGTCCAGGGCTGCCCGGCAAAGCATGCACCCCCGTTGCTCCTCAGCGCACAAGATGGTACAACACATTGCAAGATGAGGGATAATTACAGTCTTGGAGATAAATGGAAATAGGGCAAAATAAAACATGGGTTTATCGACGGTAGGTGGTGCCTGGCTCACCTGATACCTGCTGCTGATAAGGGAGATGGCTTTGGGGGGAGGAGGGATGCAGATCGCAAACCAGCCGCTGTGCCACGAAAGAAATTGTTGCTTTGCACAGATTAGGGGATTAGCACCAGCGCAAGGAGCTGGAAAGAGGCTGTTGTGGGAAGGAGCCAGGCTGCAGGGAGAGAGGAGATAGCGGGAACAGGAGAGGCTGCTGCTGGGACTGCTGTGGACTCATTTAATAGCTTCCTCTGTCACCCCAAAAGTGGGAGGGGTGTGGGGGGACCTGCTGATGCCACAAACACATAGACCTTTTCTCTCTGCTTTGCCCCTGAACCACTGGTGTTTTGCTCATCACACCCACTCGGGATGTCTGAATGGTCTCATAGATATTTAGTGCCTTTACAGGGAGCAGCTTGGCTGGCCGGGTGCTGGGATGATCTGTGCCTTTTGCCAGCCCCTTCTCCACCAGCTTCCCCCAGCATCTCATGGCTCCCGGGGACCCCAGCACTTTGTGGGTGCTGGTAGCAGAAGGACTCCCCCGCTCACTGCCCCGTGGCAGGGCTGTCACTATGAGAGAGCTGCCATCGCCTCCGGCCCCTCCAGTCACAGCTCCTTGGCACTGCCAGGGCAGGGGAAGGGGCTGTCGGGGTAGAAGGGGACAGCAAGAGGGACTCCTCGGTGAGGAGAAAGGAGGCTCCAGCTGGGAGAGTTTAACTGCTGCCTCTGGTGCTCCCAGCGTGAGCATCAAAGGAACCCCGTCGGGAGAAACTGTTTTCAAGGAGAAACTCTCCAGGTGGTTTCCAGCAAAAAACACACTCTGGGCTGCTCCCCTGCTGAGAAAAATGTGTTGAAATTTGGCCTGGGACCTCTGACCCTGCGCTGATCTGGCCAAGGAGCAAATGCCGTTGCGGTTGAGCAAATCCGCCTTGCCGGGGCTCATCTGGCTCCCCGCGGCGTCGGGAGCTGGGGCTGGCACAGCTCTGCTCCCCGGCAGGGACCGGGCACT